ATATACAATAAAACACACCATAAAATACTCTGAAGATAATCTGTAAAAGTCATATTATGCCTCAGCAGGTGTGTGTGTGTGTGTGTGTGTGTGTGTGAGTGAGAGAGAGAGAGAGAGAGAGAGAGAGAGAGAGAGAGATCAGCCTTTTAAAATCTTTGTCTGGGGAGCGATGCAAGCAAATAAGCCAAAACAGCTGAAGTAATTGGCTAAAAATTACCACATTAGTGATACAAATTATACTGGGGATGTTTAATGAGAGCTGCAGTTTTCAGCATCTAAGAGCAAAACTCAACACACTCATCTAAACTGTGTCAGTGACCTCCCTAGTTTAATACCCTGTTAATCTTTGAAAATTGGAAACAAATGCTTCAATTAAGGCACAATTAATTGGCAATTAATTTAACAATAAACAGATGGCCAGACAGAAAATCCTCCTATAATTGAATCACTGTCAATGTGGAAGAATATATGGCTTTTATTTCCACAAAAAAGAAAAGAAATTGAATGGAATGCTTTTCATTTTTGTCTTTTTTTAAAAAAAAGTTATTTTATTTGGATAATTTAATTTTTTTAAAATGTTTTAGATTCCTTTAAGACCATATTCTAGGGAGGACTTTGGTATGTATACCCCGTCAAGGCTTGGGAAAGACCTACACATGAGGTCTTAGAGAGCACATATCAGTCAGAGTAGATAATATTGGGCTAGATAAATTAATTGCCTTAATAAGGCTATTTTGTCTATATGTTGGCTTTGAGCAAGATTTGGCAGCAGGTCCTCAGAGCACTTATGGGGAATGGTATGTCAACTGATGGTTTTGAAGGTACAGCAGCAGCTACATCCTCTCCAATGTAATAATTTAAATAGGCAGGGCTCTTTGTGTAGAAAAAGCCCAGCAGGAACTCATCAGCATAATAGGCCATACCCAACAGCAGGAACTCATTAGCATATTAGGACACACCCTATCAGCACAGCTCATTTGCATATTAGGCCACACCCCCATGTTACCAGAAGTGTGGTCATCCAGCCACACCCACCTATTGCTTCTTATTCTCTTTACCTTGTTTGTTGTCAAAACCCAGGGCTTTTTGCATGTTAGGCCACACAACCCTAATTGTAGCCAATCCTAATGAGTTTCTGCTGTTGAGTATGGCCTCTTATGCTAATGAGATCCTGCTGGGCGTGGCCAGCTTGGGAGCCAGCTGGAACTCCGTTCCTGTGCGTTCTTGCCCAAAAATAGCCCTGTAAATAGGTGTTGAAAGATTCCAAATTTATTGATGATGACTAAAATCAATCAGATAAAAGTAATGTAAGGATTTGTAAAGTCTTTTTCCATGTTATCTTAAACTGATTTAGATGAGACAGAGCAAGGAATTTTTATCTTATTCCAGTGGGAATGTTCATCTTGTATGCTAATGGCAAAAGGGCAAGATGACACAAAATATATGAATTTCATATCACAGCCCATATGCAATCAAGGATTTACTTCAGACTTTCAGTAAACCACACAGTTCATAATGGGTTTTCCTCATGGGTTATTTTCATCAGTTCTGCCCCAGCCCCCCATATTGCTTCGGTTTATCCCCTAAATGTCCACATGCATTTTTGTGCCTTTAATTTTCACACACACATACCATTTTTTCCAATTCTTTTGAGACCACTTTTACCATGATGTTTTTCTGGAAGTTGCTTTTTTCCTCATGTATAATGCTCCCCCCCCCCGTTTTCTTTGTACCATCCATCTTTAGCCCAGTTTTCAATTATTTGACTGTTTTGGTTCAACACCCCCTCCTGAAGAGGAGTGGTTTGTTTGTTTTGGTTTTTTAGGCACTAAAATATATCACTAGAGCATTGTAACAATAAAGTTAGCAGGTTCTCTGAATTCCCTTTCTCTTGCAGAGATATGCCTTTTCCCTTATAACTCCATAAGGAGAGGAGCTAGAGACTTACTGTTTTAAGAAAAGGGAGTATGTGTGCTGTGATTCCACTAATGCAAAGCCTCTGTGATGGACAGTAAATAGTTAATGCTGTAACCTGGTTTGAGAACCTTGAGTGATAAGGGATTTAAATGGAATTCTTCAGTTCAGAGAGTCAGTTAGGAGTAGCAGTTAAGAATTGAAAGTTGACTGGGAAGGGGGGGTTAAGGGAGTGAGAGGATCAAGAAAGATCCCCATTTAAGCTTGAAAGAAATAGCTCCTAAAAAGTGAGGGTTGATCCCTATCCAGTGGTTAAGAAGAAAAACTGGAACTTGTTTGAATGTTCCTGCCTTCACCAACTTGTGTCTGTGAGATAAAGAAGCTTATGCTTGTGTATTTAAGCAGAGACTGCCAAAAAAATCTCTCTCCTCAAGTTTTAAATATCTGTCTGAATAACAGAAACAGTTACTTCTTTGCGACAAATTGTCTAGCATTTATTTTTGTACAAAGTTATATCATTCCTGTTCCCTATTTACCTCAAAAGTCCTAAACTTGATTCATACATGACTATTTCCCCTCAAAGTTAAATAAAACAGATTATTTTTACAAAAAAATTGAACTATAATCAGCGTCTCATGTGCCATTATCAAACATACAGCCCATATGCAATCAAGGATTTACTTTAGACTTTCAGTAAACCACACAGTCGATAATGGGTTTTCCTCATGGATTATTTTCATCAGTTCTGCCCGAGCCCCCATATTGCTTCAGTTTATCCCCTAAATGTCCACATGCATTTTTGTGCCTTTAATTTTCTCACACACACACACACACACACCATTTTTTCCAATTCTTTTGAGACCTCTTTTACTGTGATGTTTTTCTGGAAGTTGCTTTTTTCCTCATTTTCTGGAATTTTCTTTTTTCCTCATGTATAATTCCCCCCCCCCCCCGGTTTTCTTTGTACCATCTACCTCTAGGCCAGTTTTCAATTATTTGACTGTTTTGGTTCAACACCCCCTCCTGAACAGGAGTGGTTTGTTTGTTTGTTTTGGTTTTTTAGGCACTAAAAATATAACACTAGAGCATTGTAACAATAAAGTTAGCAGGTTCTCTGAATTCCCTTTCTCTTGCAGAGATATGCCTTTTCCCTTATAACTCCATAAGGAGAGGAGCTAGAGACTTACTGTTTTAAGAAAAGGGAGTATGTGTGCTGTGATTCCACTAATGCAAAGCCTCTGTGATGGACAGTAAATAGTTAATGCTGTAACCTGGTTTGAGAACCTTGAGTGATAAGGGATTTAAATGGAATTCTTCAGTTCAGAGAGTCAGTTAGGAGTAGCAGTTAAGAATTGAAAGTTGACTGGGAAGGGCGGTTAAGGGAGTGAGAGGATCAAGAAGGATCCCCATTTAAGCTTGAAAGAAATAGCTCCTAAAAAGGGAGGGGTGATCCCTATCCAGTGGTTAAGAAGGGAAACTGGAACTTGTTTGAATGTTCCTGCCTTCACCAACTTGTGTCTGTGAGATAAAGAAGCTTATGCTTGTGTATTTAAGCAGAGACTGCCAAAAAAATCTCTCTCCTCAAGTTTTAAATACCTGTCTGAATAACAGAAACAAATTGTCTAGCATTTATTTTTGTACAAAGTTATATCATTCCTGTTCCCTATTTACCTCAAAAGTCCTAAACTTGATTCATACATGACTATTTCCCCTCAAAGTTAAATAAAACAGATTATTTTTACAAAAAAATTGAACTATAATCAGCGTCTCATGTGCCATTATCAAACAAAGACAAAAAGGAAGGGTTTTAGTCTCTCAGTTCCATAGACTGGCTCAGCATCTAACAATTTACATTCAAATGACTGGGTGGAACAACCAGAGGAAAACAAAGATGAAAAGGAAAAAGGGGCTGCTCAGCTAAGAACAATATAAAGTGAAATCTTGTGAAGGAGGGCAAAATTTTCATAGCCTCATTATTGAAGGCATGTGCAGAAGAAAACAAACTGACTCCATCTGTGAAAATGCAAAGGGATGATCGATGTGTGGAAGCACCATGTCCAAATTGATTCCAGTGCCTGTGGATCAACTCCCAAGAAACTCAGGACTAAGTCTACTGTGCAGAAAAGCCCAAATGTAATGCGTGTCTGGAAATTATCTGAGTTTCAAAAATTTCAGAATTAGATGAAAGTGATGCAACCGTGTTAATAATCCTTTTAGAGAATCACGTTCAAATTGAGAATGCTGCCCCGAGGAACAATCTTTTTCATGCCTAAAAAGCCCAGAATAATTACAGCAAATGTGGAATCTGAAGATCATCAAGAAGTTTAGTGTAAAGACAGGTAAACCATCCATGATTGTGAAAGATCCCCAAGGAGGCTGCATTTCCATCTTGCATCATAAACCTTCTCACTGAGAGAGAAAAAGAAACAAAACACAAACATCAATACCAATAGTGCAATCCTAAACAGAGTTCAAGGGAGTTAGTACAGTGTAACTGTTTAGGATTCCACTGCAACCCTTTTTGCTTTAGGCAAGTTTTTCATATTTCTACTAAATCTGTGCTGACCTGAACAGGTCTACATGGAATCCTACTCAAGTCTATTACTCTGAGCAGGGCTCTACTGGTAGCAGAAGCTCCTTTGCATATTAGGCCACACACCCCTAGTGTAGCCAATCCTCCAAGAGCTTACAGAGCTCTTCTTACTGGAGCTACTGTAAGCTCTTGGAGGATTGGCTAAACTAGGGGTGTGTGGCCTAATATGCAAAGGAGCTCCTGCTACCAATAGAGCCCTGACTCTGAGGAAAGTGTTCTTAGGATAGCACTGCAAGTCTCTGGTTATATGCAGAAGCCATACTAGATGTCAGCAACCTATTATAGGAACCCAAACAAAGTAAGCATTGACAATGTGGTCCACCAAGCAGGCAGAGACAAGATGACAAAGCTTTTACACTTGACGCCTAAAGTTCAGTCCTGACTAGAATAACTTTGATAACAGCAGTCCAGCACAGTCCAGCACTGTGAGGGAGCCTGAGCACAGCATTAAATAGAATGATAGACTTGAGAGACCTGAGATCTTTGCTTAAGTATGAAGTTCACTGGGGATAATCCAACCATCCTCCAAGCAGCCTTCATCCAGCCTAAAGTGCCTTCCTCCATCTTAAGCAACTATTCCTCCAATGGAAAAACCACTAAAGTTGGACCAAGTCTTCTTAGATTGGAGGAAGATTTCAAACCTGAGCCAAAACGTTGCTCAGTGAAGTTATCGGATAGGGGTAAGATCAACCCCACTGTGTGGTCATGAGCAAGTTATGGTCTCCCAGCTGTTGTGTACTGCCTTTTTAAGAAGCTATCCCAGCCTGCTCCCTGCTGCTCAGCTATTTTTTTGGGCTGTCTTGGGCAGTCCCTTTAAAGTTTAAATAGTGGAACAAGCACCTAATCAGGCAAAGGTCTCTACAGAGAAGTTGTTGTTGTTGTTCAGTTGCACAGTCGAGACTGACTCTTTGTGACCCCATGGACCACATCACGCCAGGCCCTCCTGTCTTCTGTCATCCTCCGTCAGTCAGACTGAAAAACTGAGTGGTTATAGGGCCTGGTAGATAGGGAATGATCCTTTGTTGTTGAGTCAGGTAGCAAGGCTGGCTTGGTTTGAAGATATGGCATGCATGCTAAGCAATGAGTCAGTTTTAAAAGGAGAAGCAGAGACAAGCCATTCATTAGAGCAAAAAAACAACCCCAATTAAGAAGTAACTAATGCTGTTTGGCTGAAGAAAGACAGGCTAGGTAAAGAAAGAATGGACATTGATTTTATAATTTGTGCAAACTCATTGTACACAGGGATTTTTTTTTAAAAAAATCTTCATTTATCATTCTGTGGGAACATTGCCTAAACCTAATATTCTCTCATTTGTGTGGAATATTTTGTTTTTTGCTTTCCTTTCTCTGTTCATGAAAGCAACAATTTGAGATTTTTTTTTAAAAAAAAGGTTTAAATATTGCTCTTTTATACTTGAAATATTAGGAAATGACTCTTAAAAAAACTGAGGAATGCCACAAGATATATATGGTCATTTGTACAAAGCCCACAAAGATGTATGTAGCAAAGGCATCCAGAAAGTTATATCTGGAGAGAAACAATAGTAGAGCAGGCAAATTATCACAGATAACAGGTGTTATGTACGTGGACCGCCACCAGGGGTCCGTGGACAGGCCTGAGCTTGGATCCTAGAACAATGGAAACTTCGGATCCTGGATCCCCCAGCCCCAACCAATAGCCACCTTGGCGGGACATTCAAACCCTCCAATGGGAGCGGGAGGTTGCTGGGTGGATATGTATATAGTTGGCCCTGTTGGCCGTTAAAGTCAGTCTTTGTCTGTGTTAAGTACAATAAACGTATGCTACAGTATGTCGTCATCCGAGTCCTCCATGCGGTGAACCCAGTACTTTTCAACAACATTGCCTATTTCCTAATTTTCCTATCACATGTTTCTGTGCACAATTCAAAATGCTTGTCAGTGTCGTAGAAGGGCCACCTCCTCATGTACTGCCTACCAGTTCAGATCCTCTTCCCAAGTCCTGTTTTCTGTGCCCCTGTGTGCAGATGTCCGGAGGGTGGCAACTAGAGAAAAGACTTTTTGCAGTGGTGGCACTTCACCTTTGACATCTCCTCCCCCTTTGAGGAATGCCTGGCATCTACTTTACTGGTTTTTAAACTCCAGGTCAAAACATTTCTTTTTAGTCAAGCTTTTAACCAAGGCGATTTGTCTTTTTCAGCTGTGTTGTGTTTTGCTCCTAGCCTGAGGATTCTTTCAGGGATATGTTAAAGCTGTTCAGCATTTGTTTTATGCTGTTTTAGGCCTCTGGCTTGTTCTCAATGGCTTTTTAAAACTATTGATCATTTATGTTGTTGTTATGATTTTAGGGTATTGTTTTTATTGATGAGCCACCTCAAGCCGGTCTCTGGAGCAGTGGCATAGTAATTCCCTAAACAAACAACCAAAAATATTTTTGGAAATACTTCTTATGTAGAAATTTGCATAAACTTCACTTGTTATTAGTTAAATATGATGAAAAACACATTTTTTAATCATCTCATAGCAAGAATCTATAATCAATTTTGTCCCCACACACTATATGCAGAAGAATAATATTAGTTCATCAGACATAAAAGATGAATTCTATGTCTTGTGTGAAACAGCCTATTTATGTCCTTCCATTTACTGAAGTCATCTATGGTATCCCAATTCAGCTGCTGTTGCCAAATGATTAGACGTGGGTAGCTACTCAGGATAGCGTCTTTTCCATGGGGGACCAGTGGCTGTTCCTGGGAGCTTGCCTGGCATTGTCTTCATTCTCATTTCAGTGCCAAGTGAAGAGCTTTTTATTTCATTAGCATTTGGTTAATGGTGTTCTGTTCCTTTTTAGATTTTTTCCCCATTCTCCAATTATAACTCCCTTACAGTTTACCTGTTGCATCACAAAATGTTTTTCGTATTTTTTCCACTGATTTGAAAAATGGTTTGTATTGCTCTGATAATACAGGGATTTTATTTTTATGCTGTTTTTATGCTACTGTACCTTATTCTGGTGCTGCTATTCACACTTCTTTTTGTTGTTGTTGTTGTTCAGTTGCACAGTCAAGTCTGACTCTTCACAACCCCATGGACCACATCACACCAGGCCCTCCTGTCTTCTGCCACCATCCGGAGTTTGCTTAATTTCACGTTTGTTGCATCGCTAACACTGTCTAACCATCTAATCCTTTGCCATCCCCTTCTTCTTTTACCTTCAGTCCTTTAGACTGCTACTTATACTGCTTTTATACGCTATGTTCCGGTGGAATTAATTATTTTATAATGCAGTATTGTATTGTGGATCACAACAAACTATGGCAGGTCCTTAAAGAGATGGGAGCACCAGACCACCTCACATATCTCTTGAGAAACCTGTATAAGGGCCAAGAAGCGACAGTTAGAATCGGATATGGAACAATTGATTGGTTCAGCATAGGAAAAGGAGTACGACAAGGATGTATATTGTCACCTTGCTTATTTAATATATATGCAGAGTACATCATGCGAAATGCTGGCCTGGATGAATCACAAGCGGGAATTAAGATTGCTGGGGAAAAGATCAACAACCTCAGATATGCAGATGATACCACTCTAATGGCTGAAAGTGAAGAGGATCTAAAGAGCCTCTTGCTCAGAGTAAAAGAGGAGAGCGCAAAAGTGGGCTTGAAGCTCAACATCAAAAAAACTAAGATCATGGCATCCGGCCCCATCACTCCTTGGCAAATAGAAGGGGAAGTCGTGGAAGTAGTGACAGACTTCACGTTCCTGGGATCCCAGATCACCGCAGACTGTGACTGCAGCCATGAAATTAAAAGACGCCTGCTCCTTGGGAGGAAAGCGATGGCGAACCTAAACAGCATGATAAAAAGTAGAGACATCACCCTGCCAACAAAAGTCCGCATGGTCAAAGCAATGGTATTCCCAGTAGTCATGTATGGCTGCGAGAGTTGGACTATAAGGAAGGCCGAGCGCCGAAGAATAGATTCTTTTGAACTATGGTGCTGGAGAAGACTTTTGAGAGTCCCTTGGACTGCAAAAAGATCAAATCAGTCAGTCCTAAAAGAAATCAACCCTGACTGTTCCCTGGAAGGCCAGATAATGAAACTGAAGCTCAAATACTTTGGCCACCAAATGAGAAGGGAGCACTCACTGGAGAAGACCCTGATGCTGGGAAAGATTGAAGGTCAAAGAAGACGGGGACGGCAAAGGATGAGATGGTTAGACAGTGTCATCGATGCAACGAACATGAAATTGAGCCAACTTCAGAGGACGGCGGAAGACAGGAGGGCCTGGCGGGAGATGATCCATGGGGTCACGAAGAGTCGGACTCGACTGTGCGACTGAACAACAAAATTGTATTTTATTGCTATTAGTTGTCTTAAGCATTTTAATGGATATACATATTTTAGATAAATAAATGAAAGGCTCATATAAGAAAATCCACTTTCTGATCTCTTTAAAACTATATGTATATTTCAAGTAGAAAGCAGAAGAACATCTCTTTCAAAGACTCATATGAACCCATTTGCTCACTGTTCATGCTCTGCCTTTATCATGATCACACCAGAGAACCCAGGAAAGATCTCACAGCAAATTAGAGCAGTTCATCCCTGTGGTTCCAGTTCTTTTCTAATGAACTAAGCACTTCAGAAATTTAGGTATGTTATTTGCAATTTATATCTTCTTTGGAGTCTAGTGACTTCTACCAGATATATGGGATATATGAAGCAACCTTCAAGCTCTTTAGGAAAAATAGACATTTCAAAACCATTTTTCCTTTCTTCATAAACCAGTCTCTGACTTGCACATCAACACACACAAATCCCTTTAGAGCTGTTTCCACTGTAGCAATTTAAGCTCACAGACAGACTTTTAAAAGAGATTGCATGAATGCCTCCATGTGGAAAAGGTATATGAAGGCCACAACATTCCCCAAATATACCTATGAGCAGAAGCTGAAATTTCTAGATGTGTGCTCAGAACATTACTAATTATGATCTGGTACTCGAAATACAGGGGGAAATGCATTTCTTACATTTAGAAGAAGGCTTTAAATTTGGTTCTTCTAGGGTCTGGCTGTTTTTGTCTCCTGAGCAGTGGAAGGCAAGAGGAGAGGAGTCAGTGGGGGGAGACGTTGGGTTGCCAACCTCCAGAAGGAGCCAGGAGTTTTCCTGCTATAACAATTTACCTCCGGACCACAGAGATCAGCTCCCCTGGAGAAAATGGCTGCTTTGGAGGGTGGACTCTGTGGCAGTGTACCCTGCTAAGGTCCCTCCCCTCCCTAAACCCCACTGTCCCCTAGCTCCGGCCCCCAAATCTCCAGGTATTTCCCAACCTGGAACTGGCAACCCTGGCAAGCAGGAGATAGATCAGTCAGTCAGTCAACCTTTATTGGCATACTTAAAATACAATGTGGATCACATTTTAAGGTGCATATAAAAATATAAGTATGTGAATATAAAATAGCCAACCCACCAGGAGTTGACAGATATGGCACCAGCAGGTATGGTGGTGGGGGGCTCTCCTTGCCTCCTCCGGCCCGTAGTGCTCTGGTGCTGGCCGGAGAAGGCGGTGGGGGGGATCTTCTTTCTTCTCCGGCCCGCAGTGAGGAGGAGGCGGGGGGCCTCTCCTTGCTTCCTCCGGCCCGTAGCGCTCTGGTGCTGGTCGGAGAAGGGGGCAGGGGCCTCTCCTTGCCTCCTCC